ACCAAGTGGTCAGACAGTTCGAGTGGTTAAAAAAGTTCTAGTGGTTTGAAGGATAAAGTGCCGAAAGATTCAATCCTCGCCTCATTGGACAACCGCGATTGATAGGAAAGAATGCAATAAGTACTTGCGATAGTTAGCAAATTCAAGACTGACTTGTATTTGAGAGAATATCATTAAGTATAAACTAACTACTGATTGGTCTACTATGAAGATCGGATACGCGTCTCTTTAAAAGCGTGTCCCTACGTACGAGCTTATATATATTTGAGCTGATGACGTCCGTCTGTGACGTCACCATGACGCCTAGTCCCAACTAAGCGTCATCCTCGTCGAATGGGAATCCATCCATGGTTATCAATTCGCGAGGGTGGGTCACATTGATGTGCCTCACCCAAGTGAGAGGTCTAAGGTACCACGTACCCTTTGAAATCTCCCCGATACGTATCATATACCTAACAAACTCGTGTAAGTTACATCCGGCTTGAACAGCTTATCTGATGCGTGTAAGCGTACGTACCCGTCTTTTTCTCGTCAGCCAGATATTGGAACTTTTCACGTAGTAAAAGAATAGCAAGCGTCTCCAGCAGCTTGGCTATACGCATGACGATCTGATCATCCGAGCACCATCTTATTCTCTCTCAGACCAGCAAACTCCGTCAGCATGACCTCATAGGTGGTCTGGCTCTTTTTAATAGTAGACCTCACTTACTATTCCTATGTCAGAACCCTGTGTCCTCAAAACCGAAATCGTGTCGGAGTTTTCAACGGATGATTTCTTCGTTTTGCGCCGGTGGTGGTATTGCAAAAATTGTGCCTGGGATTGGGAGCGCACCACCTGGGGGAGCATGGATATGCTGCCATTACACTCACCAAGCCAGTTGCAGTAGTTTAATTGAGGACTGACAGTATTACATCAAATTCACTTCAGCATCGCCTCATTAACTCAAGTCGCTCCTAATGCCGCATCAGCTGCTTGATCAACAAGCAAAGATCATTATAAGAATTAGTTTCCTCCTCGCAAGCTGCCAAAAATTATTACTCATAGTTGTTGAACTTCATAGACGATAACTACTTCTACAATGCTGAGGCAGTCGGGGAGGAGCCTGATTGCAGCTATCAATATCATTAGTGATGATCAATCAAATGCTGCAGACTTGAGCATCGACAAAGACATCGGGCCGACAATGGGTATCAAGCTTTTCTTTCATGTCATTACAAATGGCTGTACCCGCTATATAATTAAACTGAGCAAATTACTTGGTTTCTAAATTAGCAATACCTTTTGCAAAACATGTTGTCTTCCAGTGAAGCTTTCCATACAGATTGCATGCTGGAAGTATCCATACCGGCACTGCATTTGATGCTATTGCTAACGTGCAATAAGTATCCAATACAGAAAGCAATTAAATGCTATCGGCTGCAGTTGACGTATAACTAAGCTTTTTTTCTGTCAGCAAAAGCGGACAATACGGTCTCTTCCCGTTGAAAGCAGCCACAACCACTGGAGCACGAACCATCAATGCATGTACATGAAAGCAATCCATCTCAGCAATTATTCGTGAAGCCAATCTACTTCAAACCTTGACACGCCACAATTTATGAGCTAAACATTGGTAGTTTCCCAACCTTTCGAATATCACAGATCTGTTGACAAAGACGGCCGTATCTCCAGCTGATCTGCGCTCCGACTCCGTATCACGTCGACTTCAACGACATTCACTCTTACGTCTCTTGTTGCCCAAGTAGCAGCAGCATGAGCCCACCCTCACCTGCTCGACGTGCTGTTTCACCACCGCCTACTACTTGTGTGGCCACCTCATGTGGACACCATCTAACGTCGAGTCACGAAGAAGGCAGCAGCGCAGCGACAGCGACTACGAAGAACAATCACTCAACAATGAAGAAGATGATGAAGAAGAAGAAGAGTCGGCAGCAAGTGGCTCGGAAGTTGAAGACTTTACTCGCGGTAAAAGACGTCGACAACGGATTCACTTTAACGTCGAGCAGTTGCAGACGGTTTACTACCTTCCACTCAAGACGGTGAGCGCTATCGTAACATTTGGACGGTTGGCACATCAATGCGGCAATAACAGAGTGTCATGCAACACATTTCATGTTGCTTGTGGCAAAGTGCATACGTAGTGTAACTAGAGTGATTGTAATAGTAACGATCACGAACGTTGAGTTGTGTTCAGGCAGCGGAACAACTCGGTATTTGTGAAGCAGCGTTAAAACGGATTTGCAGACGTAATTTCATCCAAAAGTGGCCGTACAGACAGTTGTCGTCCGTTCGTCGACGTATCACACAGCTTGAGGACCGTCGTGCTGACATGGTTGCTAACCATGGTGGTACGAATGAATTTAACCTGCGAGAATACTCATCTAAGCTTCGTCTTACAAAGTACTTTATAAGTAGACAGACTGGAGCATTTTACACGTCGTGAGTTCCAGGAACACACTTCCTTTGTGACACCAGAACAGTTTGATATAAAGCTGCAACAACTGGAAGAGGAAGAGAACCAGATCATCCGATTGGCCCACCAACCACGTCTACCGACACAATCAGTTCGATCTTGTACGACAACATCGTGTCAGCAAAACTTACAAGAGCAGCGAGAACTACAACGACCGATCCTGAATGAAGAACGAATCGTTCATTCAAACGGCATACAAAGCACAATTGCGGATTTACCACCATTGGACCTCGATCGTGTAGATCGTGAATTTCCACTGTTGTTGCTAGCCAACGTGTGCGACTCCGTCCGAGCTTACACAAAAGTTTAAGCCCAGACCCAGTTATTCACTTGACGTCAAACATTAACATTTCACATGTGATCACGAATTACCAAAAAACAATTTTTATATTTTACCGACTACTCGTGTTTAAACGATGTTATGGGATTTTGGAGGTTTAGATATCTATTTGTAGACATATCTGTAGTTATGACAAAGTCAGTAGACGATGGCCGAGTCATTGTCGTACGATATCAAAAGCTTGCAATTGTCCCTTAAGGAGGTAAGATAAGAGACGTCGTCCGGATTTTAAGGGGATGTGATGATATTAATAACTTCGAAACGAAACTCTGTGGTGTTAGATACCAAAAAGCCGAGCGAGATGAATTTGTTGGCCTTCAATCAAACTATCACTAACGTGTCCTTCTTAACATCGCTTGTGCGCTTCAACCTTCAGCATACAAGGTAATGTCGGCGTACTAGGCCAGAACTCCTATAAGCCGCTGCACAACTCCCGCGAAGACGGCTTGATTATGCCCTTTGCCACATTCTGGCGAATGAAGTGGTGGCAGAAGTAGACATGCTTGGTGCGAGATATTTTGTATCGTGTTGCTTGCAAGTGCAATCGCAACATCGTTGTCTCCCATAACTTTGTGTTCTCTACCTACACGTAGCCTATATTCTTCAACACGACGCGTATCCTCCTGTGTACGTGCCCTCTAAAAATAGGTTGAGACATCGATTTCTGACATTGTTGCATGGCGCAAGTCCCTCGTGGTAAATCAAACTGTGACTCGGTATGTTATCGAATTACTTATAGTGGAGCTTCGTCCATTTCTTTGATAGCATCCCTTTCAAAGAATGCCGACTGAAGGCGTTCAATTTCGTTGGGTGTCTGCTCCCAATCTCAGTAATATCAAAAACTTGACTGAAGATGTGATTAGCAACTTCTCCATGTGTACTAGCGCACTGTAAGCTTCTAGTATGCTCCATGTAGCAAGACTTTTCATTTGATTATTTTATTATACAAATGTATTCAGCATGGCGGCTACAATGGCTCATGCTCACCTAACTGAAACGAAGCAAGTGGCCTGCGTTATTCTGTGCTCGCACTTGACAAAAGATTACTATAAATTGAGCTTGCACAGCCACTGATATGTTTGCCTCACCAGCACCATTTATATGTAAACATTTCGCTGTCGAGGTGCGCAGGTGATTGGATCGCTCAAATCTAGCACTTGTATCCCGTATGTGATGGATTTATTTTCGAAGTGTTGTTTTTATCGAAGTGCATGTATCTGCAAGCGTCATACAAGGAAAGACTAGTAAAGGTCGAAAAACATGGTGTGGTCGGCGGTGGCGTAAAAGTTGATTGTGAATTTTTGAGATTCTTGTCGACAGCCTGTTGTTATTAAGAATCTGTTGCATTAGACATTGCAACAGATTCTTGTTAACCTGATGTCGAATTATGTGCACACGAGTCGAGTCATGGGGGGGGGGTTCCATATGGCTAACCGTTTCATCCACGGCAAACGACATGGTTTTTATGTCTGATAGACCGTGACTCTCGAGCTTGTAGCGTTCAGAAAGTGTCTAATACGACAATCATTTGGTCGTCGCTGTAGTGTGTTGTGCATTTAGGAACATCGTCTGCTTGAACGCTTATGCAAAGACACAAGTATTTACATACTTGTCGTGCACGGTGGCACGAACAGGTGCACATGTTAGTACACGATCTGCTGGTACTTCTTTCGGGAACAGAAGCCCAGTGCTACATATAGAATATTTTCGAACAGCCTTCTTGAAGAAAAGGTACAAACGCTACTTGATTACTCAAGCGTCTTGCTGTGTCCAAACAGTCATCTTTGCACGAAATTGCAAGGGTCACAAGGATGCATTAACTATGTGTGCGGGCACGTTGCAGCCATGATCTTTCAGTGGTCCTTGGTTCGAAATTAACATTTGTTTAATACAGCCATCTGTCATCACCTTGTGACCGCACGACAAGACGAATGGTGCTCGCTCTTGACTCAACTTGTTGAATCGTTTGACTGAAACAATTCAGTACCTACAACAACGAAGCTGATGCAAGCACATCTAGATGACGATAGTTCACTGTCAAATCGAGATGCCATGCTCACTGCCTTAAGTCATCGTTTACTCAGGGGTACATGTAGCGCCTCTCGATCGAGTTGGTCGATGGTTCCCACTTTTCAATTTACCGCTGACAGTCGCAACCGACTGACCTCCCCACGAATACATCGACGATGAAACTCTTTTCCACTGCTCTTGCCGCCCTCTCACTCCTTGTTGCTACGACCAACGGCACACTCATGTTGCGCTTGGAAGCCATGGGCAAGAGCAATCTCGAGAAGCAACATCCGCAGCAGAGCTACCAAACCAACAACATTGGGTGCAATCTCACTGGTACATACAAGAAGGGTACTGATATCTCGTCCTGCGCTGCAATCACTGTTGATTCATTGCGTGTGCCGGCTGGTGTCACATTGGACCTGAGCAAGGCTAAAAAGGGTGCCATCATCCAATTCAAGGGCACGACTATTTTTGGAGCACAAAAGTGGGCCGGTCCGCTTGTTCTGCTCGGAGGAACTGACCTTATTGTTAAGGGCAATGGTGTTCTTGAAGGACAAGGATCGTGGTACTGGAAACAAGGCCAGTCAATAATTCGTCCGGTTTTCTTCCGTCTGCAGAATGTCATGAACTCGACGGTGTCCGAGATCACCATCAAGAACATGCCCTTTCATACGTTCAGTATCGTCACCTGCAAGGACACGACTCTCACTGGTCTCACGATAGATGCCAGAGCTGGTAATGGTATCGCCAAGAACACAGATGGTTTTGGCTTGACCATGAACGACCATGTCACGATTACAAAGAACACGATCTACAACCAAGACGATTGTCTTGCGATACAGTCTAGCACCAATACCGTCTTCCGCGACAACTATTGTTGTGGTGGTTACGGCATTTCAATCGGATCTATCGGTGGAAACTCCGTTAACCAGTCAACAACGGTTCAGGGTTTACTTGCCAGGGGCAACACTATCGTCGACAGTGTCAACGGTCTTCGTATTAAGACCATTATTGAGCTAAAGGGACTGGTCAGTGATGTGAAGTACGTCGATAATGAGCTCATGAACGTAAAGAACGCCATCGTTATCCGCTCAGACTACAGCATGAGTAAGGACGCCTACACGAACACCGCCACCAGTCAGGTTCAGATCACTGGTGTTACGGTCTCAGGTCTTACTGGCTCGGCCACAAATCTGTACGACATTAATACCAACCCGAATGTGGTGTCAGATTGGACTTTATCGGGCATCCATGTGACCACGTCCGCCATGGGTATGCTTGCCGGTTTACCTAAGAGCCTATTCAGTAGTCTCTTTTCTTCGTAGACTGATAGAATGTGGAGCTTTCTCTCAGTTGGTTAGTAACCAATACATTTCTGCCCATTTTCGTATGCTTGGAAGCGAATGCTCACTTACTGCTATGAACAAACGCGTTTCAAGCGAAAAGCTTTTACCACAGACATCAAAGGAAGCAATGTTAAAACCGGTCTGTGACGACGCCAGCAGGCTCCATACTTAACAGGCCAATTAACATTAATCGGTAAGGAGGTAGAGTGCATAATCGCTACTGTCGTGGGACCAGTGAGTCACGCTGGGAACTGATTAATTGACATCGGTGAGCTCTCACGCTGAGATCGACTACGTCAGCTCGCTTGGGTTGAGCAATAGCCTGGTAAAAGACGATCCTTTAGCTAGCAAGTCGAGCCCAAGATTCGGTCTACTTCGGCGTGCGTTTTGTCATCCAATTTTCAAGCTAGTTTCGAAATTTACATAGAACACTGGAATATCTTTCTCTTACAGCATCGCTACCAAATGCACCCCTCGTCGCCACCACTGCCGCTCTTGTCACCACCACGTGATACGCCAAGAAACGCGTTATTCACCAGTACATCTTACTTAGTCCGGATTGGCACCCGAGTCGCTATTATCAGGCATCAAAGCGTCAGGTTGGACGAGCAGTTGCAGCGGTAGGCGACGTGACACCAACTGCATCCACGTCATGATGGGACAATACGCTCACCCTTTCGCGCAAGAGATGACCAAAAAGAGCACCATTACGCCTCTGCGGAAAGATGTAGGACCATCAGTTCGTATCTCTCTTCTCGGCCAGCAATCTGCATGAACTACGGTCGGCGATGCATTCCCAAAGGAGATACTACGGCTGACAAAAGAGATGTATATTGTAATAAAATCAGGCTTTGGTGAATTCACGTTCAAATATGACGATCTGTCGCGGCAAAAAAGCAAGGAAGCGAAGTTGCAACAGAGATGAGCTTGATGGCTGGTGGTTAATTGATTTGCGGCTGTAAACTGACGGCAATCGCTAGCTTCCTTAACTGAAAGCAGATTGTAACATGCAATCTTTGAATGATGGTAGAATCTTGATAACGTCCCGGTATTGCTGCTCTTCGCTGCTCAATCTCTGCCTCGAGACATCGCTTTGACAACACTGATTGACCTGATCGAAGAAATACACCTCTTTTGAAGACAAATTCGTACACTTGATATGTCGGGATCCAAGATGACGTGCCGGTGCATATATTTAGCTTCTACAGACCGTGGTTGTGACATCGAAACGGCAATGCCCCCAGCAGAAATAGATATACAGTCATGTATGTCACCGGTGCGTACATGCATATTCATGTACAGGCGCGGACAAGTGCATGTACGAATAGCAAATCGCAACATTAGCAAATTGCAATATTTTCGAGCTCGTTCATAATTCAATTGTTTTAGAACAACCGGTAGAGCACGTGGGTCTTGGTATCTTGACACAGGTGAGCACGTAGCAGTTCGATTGAGTTTTGTCGGGTACGATTGCAAGTCGTTCGTATACCAAAAAAAACGAGCTGAGGTCAACACGACGACGGCATGCAGTTGCTGTTAAGTAGCAAGGTGATCCGAAGCTTTGGTAGCCTGCCATTCAAAGAAGGATTGGAATCTTCCAGATAGACTCTCTGAGAAGTAGACAATTTGATGGTAATTAAACCGCTCACCTGTTGTTTGGCTCACCGTATTATGGAATAAATAGTCTGAGCTTCGATTTCTGACATTGTTGCACGGCGCGAGTCCCTGTAAGCTTATCTATGCTACATGTAAACTATAAAATAAGACTAGAAACAGCGATTGTCTCATCCATTATATTTGGCAAGGCGGCTGGAACGGTAGTGTGCCAGCGTTATTCGGTACTTGCATCGACAAAAGACAACTATCTGTTGAGATTGCACCGTCACTGGTATGTTTGCATTATCAGCGTCATTTGATTGTGAACCTCGTAAATAGTTCTTAACTATACGTCAAGGACTCGAAAGCGACGAAGAAACGAGAAGTAGGCTGGTGCTGCTAATGTTATTTTAGTGGGACTATGAGAACCAAAAGTGAAAGTGGCCGAGCTTATCGTTCAACTAGTTGTTCCTCAACCTTTGTCCGTCCTCCCCGCAATTGGTGGATAATTTCGGTGGCGCTTGCAAATGAACGATCGTTGCCATGGTGGGCAGGTGGTCGTCAATTGTTAATCACTCAATCCTAGTCGATGGATTATACTTGTTCACCCGTAGTGTGATAGATCTATTTCGAAGCGGATATTTTCGAAATGCATGCGAGCGTCATACATGAAACGCTTTTTCTAGATTGGCATACTATTGATTGCGAATTCTTGACCATCAAAGGTGAACCCACATCGAGTTTTTCGCCTACGCAATTGCTTAAAGAAGTGAGCTATTGTGGTTGGTCTTGGCGTGATATGGCCGATACATGCCACGGCGGCCATATAAGCAGTGCACACTGTACCTGCTCACCGATTGATTTTGGTTGGCCTGAGCAGTATAAAGTCAGGATGAAGTTTCTCACTCCAAACGCGTTCAATGCGTTTCGTTATGAAGTGAGCATTTACGGCTCATGAACTGTGAAGAGTCGGGTGTATTTGTGACTATAATTTATACAAAAGTACTGAGCGCGTTGGCGTCAAAAGGGGAGCGTGATGCTCACTGTGATGGCAATAGGTGAGTCAAAAAGTGCTAAGCTTACTAACGTATGTTATGCCGAAGGTTTGCAGCGTAATGATGGAGATAAATACTTACTTTCGAGTTGTAGGGCGCAACATGTTTTATTATCCTTCGGCTGTAGCTCACCTGCAAACTGCGTTAGATCAGCTCACTATCTGATCCTGCTTTGGCTCTTAAAACTGGCAACAATGACTTCGGAACTGCTTGAATGTTCCTGTGATGCTTACGCCGAACCGTGAAATTAATCTTGGATGGGTCTTCATATATTTATAATGTTTTCTTCTATGTTAAGCTGTCGAGAAACAAGTCGTGCAAACCCATCGGAATCTTCAGCAATTTAATACAATCCAAGCCTTATTGATCATTCCGGTGTAGTAATGAAGAGAGACAAGAATGGACATGCAGCAGGAGCCGTAGCCGCGGTGCCCTCGGTGTCGAACTCATCGGCCGAAGAACATCGCGCCGTATACTTCTGAGAACTTGACACCGATGAATCAGTAGCAGGTCGGAGATACGGAGTTTGTCGACGTTGCTGCCTCGTGAGGCAGACGCTGACCGAAGGTGGCAGCAGCCTTGGTTAAGGATGTTAAACACGCCAATGGTACACGGAGGCAATCTACTGCAAGCAAGAATTTGGCCGAGTTGTTCGAAGTGTAATATGATGCCGCACAGTGGCATCATAGCGTAGCTTTTTCAGCCCCTTAAGGATTCATTTGCCACTGCTTTTGGGTCATTGAGTTAGCCAACTAACACATACGGTTTTTACGCCTATTTCTTAAACTAAGGAGCACCATTACAGTCAAATCCCATTAGGAAATCGTTTATCACAATGCCACATATTTTACTAGCAACATATCTGCCTTCGCGTTTAATGATGGCAGACATACTGAAACAATCGTCCACTAAACACTACACAACCAAAGACACTTTACTTGTAAAACTTGCTTACAACTCGCAAGACACACTTGTCAACGTTTTTTGTAAACCGACGCCACACACTTCCTCGGTTGGATTTCACAACGTACGGGGTGTCCCCCGCATTGTTAAAATAGACGTTACCGGGTCGGTTTGATATCATTGGGGTGGGGTGATGATTCCAGGTATTTTCTGGTGTCAGTTTAGGTCGTTCCGGGCCCATGGATTGAGCAAACCGATTGACGGGTGATGCAGGGAATGCACACAGCGACGAGATAGAGATGGAACCGCTGCGTGCACGAGGAACTGTCTCCCGCCGATGCTTTGCGATTGAATGTTGTGCTTCATACTGATAAACTGGACGGTTGCTAGAAAGAGGAAAGCTCTGGTGTCTGCTCAGGCTAAAGCGCGCATCAATGACAAAGTAGTGAGGCATGAGCTGGCGTTGTGGACGTCGTTAAAAGTTGGTCAATCAAGAACTGAAGTGATGTCGCAGCCATGAGAGAATCTTTGTTCCGTGTGGAGCCAAGTCGATCTATCGGAGATGGAGATCTTGATTTCGTAGAAACTACACGACATGATTTATCGAGACCAATCCAGCACTGGATAGTGGATTTACAAGAATAGCAATTTACTGACTCTTGTCAGGGTGATACATGTTGCTGTTTTCGAAACGTCTGGATAATATCGAAGCACCTACTTGTGGTCGAACGACCGTGCAGCCTTAAATTTTGCAAGTGCTAGTTTACCACCACATTGCCGACAAAAAGTAGCACCTTGGATGTTACGACGTAGCTCAAGCATCGAATATCAGTGTCTATTGAATGTATAGCTCAGCTTGTCCGTGAGAATTTAAAACCGACACTTTGCAAGGGAACGTGTATCAACAGATGACCCAGCGTTCCGTTATCTGGCTCGATACCAGCGCTGACTACATCAACATTAACACTATCTGTTCAATAAAAGAATCATTTAACCGTTTAAAACGCAAGTCTAGCATGACTTTCCTTTTGGCTTATCCTACACGAATAGCTACTGTACGCTACATTAAACTTGTATCATAGTCTTCCCCACTATGTCAGAATCGATCGGGGTTTTGTGTAATAGATTCTGAATTTTGCAATAATCCTTCTTCACCTGTTCACCGTTATCGATACTTTCCGTGTCGGTGTCACACTCACTGGTACTTTCCTCTGACGTCTTTGTCAGTGGTTCAAACTGAGGTTCTTGTTTTAGACACTCGAACGGCAGCTCGTGGAACGCACGTCCCTTTTCAGACAGCACGAATTTCTTGCCGGCTTTGTATTTATTAGCTCGATAGGGCCATCGGAAGCCGTAGCGTTTGCAATTGCGCTTGATGGTGATGACAGCGACATTGAGCGCCTTTGCCGCTTGACTTTGTGGCATGTGGTAATATGGTGCCAAGGTCTCGGGTGGGAAGTCGTGGATGCGACGACTTTTGCGTGACTTTTTCTTGTCGGTTGAGTGAATCGACGGACTCGAGCGTTTGCGACTTGTGTTGACTTTGGTTAGCGTTGCTACTGGTGAGGAAGTGAGGAATGTCGAAGGTTCAATGAAGTTGTTGTTCATAGTGTCGATAGATCGGGTGGGGGGGGGGTGAGACTTGTGTCGACGTGAGGGAAATGAAGAATGAGCCGTCAGATGCGAAACGTTGTATCGACTTACGAAAAAAGTCGTCGGGGATCAGCCGCGTCTCTTGTATATCGCTAACAAGGTGCGACAACTGGGGTCTCACTACTACTGTAGCCCTTGATGTACTTGGGGTTGACATGTTGAGAGACTAAGACAATGAACAGCATTGATGACACCAGATATCGAGTTCTCTAGAAATTTGTATGATAGTAGCCATGCTGATAGAACGAGAACCACTATGACGCATATAGCATTGCCACTCGTGCGCCTAGAAGGGACCATGCGAAAACTACCGCTGTTTAAACAGTGAAAGTCAAAGGGACCACGGCATCCGCCAGAGGAGACCAAGATACCTCCACCCCAGACTACACGAGCAGATTCGGTCTCCTACACTTGGACTAAAGCGAAACATCTTGCGGCTATCCATTGGGTGGACCTCTAAAAAGATTGCCTTCTCAATTAAATCTAATAACCTGTATCTTTTTATAACAATGAGATAAGCAAGTCGATCTAAAATTGACTGCAATAAGAAATAACCGTGATAAAATGTTGGTTCAACAACCGTTACATGCGTGTGAGTACTGACTGCACATGGAGCATTGTGGATTACCTGTTTACGAAGGTTGGACTAACTGTTAAAAGCGTTAGCAATATGTCGACGAGTTCAAGGTTGAAGCTACTTGCTACCAGTGCCCCACATAAGAGCTGGTTTGCTTCTTTGTAGCTGGAAAGTCTCTGCGCAACGGCAAACTCGAATTATATCGCCGAGACATGTTTAGATTCATAGTAGGTGGTCCATCTTCATGCGAATGTTACTACACTACAGCGTGCCTTTGACCAACTCTTGGATGCTCAAGTTCCGCAGATTCAAATCGGCTTCTTGTCCTTTGCGACCCTGTCTTGTCCCACACACGGACAGCAGTCCCGGCGCTACGACCAACTTGGCCACTTCGATGACATCAGGAATCCACAATGATTGGGAAGGCAAACGAGGCTTTGACCACTGCATTGTTGTCGGAGTCTTGACACCATGCGAGTCCATACACAGTCCCGCAGAGCAGTCCTGTTTTCCCAGATTGTCGATACATTGTGATCTTGCTCTTCCGTGCTCAGCGCTTGGTCCAACTTGCATCGCGTGAGGTACATGGTCCACATCTTCGTTTTCAAGCGGCGATCACCTTTAGAACCTTCAAGCTTGGATGGCTCAAGACTCTGGTTTTCCAATGTCTTTCTTGTGCAGGCAAACAAGATTGCTTATATATATTGTATTGGCATTTTACGCTAGAGACCAGGTCAATGCAACCTTGGCTACCAGTTGTTGAAGTTGATGCGGTGTGACTCATGACGCCCTCCATCCGTTTGATGCTATAGGCGGGCTCATCACGTGGTCACGTCTTCGTCGACACCAATGAAATTCGAACGCGAAAGTAGTTGATTCGTGTACCACATGGTACTAAGACATCGTGTGATGCCGGTGGATAGGCGATGTTCCTTCGAGACTCCTTATGTATATTGATCACTCAACAATTCAACAATCGTCTGGTACCCAAGTTTCTTAACGACTGTAGCATGTCTACACTCCCTCGCTGGGCATATCACTTTAGGAAACTTGAAAAGATGATCGAGATGCGGTCGAGGTACCACACGCCCTTTTTCTCTCGGATATTACGCTTATCCTGTATATCTCTATGCTCCGTGGCCCGTCATTAGGGTGCGTAGAGGTGCACCGATCAGGCATTGCAATAAGAGTTCGAGTGTAATGACTGGGGTCAACTCCCGTTCGTGGCCCACGATCTTGTACCGCACCACGAAAGGTGGATTGCTGAAGAAAGAAGGTGAATCTGGAGCTGTCGAATAGTCTTTCGTCTCGTTTGATACAGAGGAGTGGCTTTGCTTGCCTCTAGCATCTAGAAATTTGTGGCTAGTGTGTTGTGTAGTGACGAAAATGTATTGCGTGCAGCGATCTACTCTGTAGCTGTCTGCCCCAACATGAGACGTTTAAATCTACTTAACAAGGGGTCGTCCCCTTTTGCATGTTCCGACATGTCAAAAGGATTTGCAGTCTTACCACGTTATCTCCATTTCACTTCTCAATTTGCCTTCCACTCACCTACAGCTCCACTTCTCTGTAGCCAAGATGCCTTCGTCGCCATCGTCTAATAAAGTCTTGATAGTGAAAAACGACATTAACACCAAGTCTCCTCGTCGCAAAAGTCGACTCAAGTTCGACTTCCCCATCGAAACACTTATAGCGCTCTCAAAGTTTCGTCAAGATGAAGCGGCCAGGATACTTGGTGTTGCATCGATCACGCTTAAGCGCAATTGCCAACGAAAGAAGTATCGGTGGCCATATCGTACCATTAAGGCCCAACACCGTCGTGAAGCTCGCCTCACCGCCCAAAAGCAGCACGTCGACAAAACAGTTGTCGAATTATCTTTGCCGCCTCCGGAGCTACTACTTTCACTCAAGAATGCGTCTCTCTTCAGTAGATCCCCATCTTCGGTCAGCGGTCTGGTACCTTCGGTCAGTTCGAAACCAAAGGCGCGTCCTCAACCACCACTTACGTACGCGACCGTGACGTCCGAGATACCCCCGCAACTACCACCGTTGAGATTGCTCCTACAGAATCTTAGAATGCAGTCATTGCACGCAACCCTGCCCCGCCTAAGTATCGCTTAACCGATGTACCATCACCTTGATTGAGCAAAAGAGCTCGTACTACAGTGCGAAATTCCACCTACCAGTTTTGAAGCTTCCTTTTTGGAAATCTAATCTGCCTCGGTGGACCACTATCAGAGTCACGAATAACTGTCATCCAATGGCTCATGCAGTTACAACAACGTTTTAAAGAAACGTATCTCCATATGAAGAAGTAAAAAATGAAGTTTCCAAACAGAAAAGATAATTGAAGTCATTATCTTCCAGCATTATATACCCTCATTTTCTTGATGAATTATTGCGGCTTTTACTACATCAGGCTGCTCAGACCCTGCGGCTGTCGGAACCAACATTCAATAAATGATCGTGCAATAAGTGTCAAAATTTTGCTACCTTTTAAGATACTTTACTTCTTGAACGAACCCAAGCATGCATTGATATGTGTATACAATCAGAGCGCTCCAAAGACGACAAGCTGTTCATGTTCGTATTGTAGTTGTTGCGATAATAGTAGCTGTAGATATTATTACCATGACTGAGCTTCCAAATCGCCTCAAGTTGACTCGTGGAATGCATGTTGATTACTAAAAGCGCTTTCCACGTCTTGAAGACGTCGCCCATATATAAGGTAGCTACACCTCGATCGAATCAATCATTGCAACAAGCCGTGTGTCAGTGCAATCAAAAATCATGTAGGCCACCACCATAGATCCTGTCTTCCATACAATAAGACCAAGTACTTGCCAAAATACCAGAGGTCCTCTTTGAGCTAATCACTGCTATTCCATACATACATACAGAACATCATATCGAAGTGACCAGCTCACGGGAAGTCTCCAAGCTCCAGTCCAATAGGCAAATGGTCGCTACCAACAACACTTTGCCGGATAAACGACGACCGCTGCAAAAGCATCAAGTAAGAAACAATGGTAAGCCATCAACGTACTAACACGACTCGCACTTTCATTCAATAAATGACGCACCACAATCGGCATCAATGCCTTGGACACAACAAAGTAGTCGAGTCGCCAGCCCTTCTTCTTTGCACGCATGTTGTGTCGATAGCCAAAATACGAGTACTCGACCTTGTCCGGATGTAAGTGGCGAAAGGTATCCACGAATCCACTGTCCAAGATTTCGCTAAAACTCTGTCTCTCTTCAACCGTGAAGCCAGCGCTCATGCGATTGCCCTTGGGGTTGTGAATATCGATCTCTTGGTGCGCAACATTCAGGTCCCCGCACCAGATCACGGGCTTGGACTTGTCCATTTCCTTCATCTCACGCAGCATAGCTTTGTCCCATTGATTGGTTCGGAAATCCAGCCGTTCCAGCTTACCTCCTGCATTAGGAACGTATGTGTGAACCAGCCAAAACTTGTCAAACTCGAGCGCTAAAAAGCGTCCTTCTTGATCCTTTTTTCCATTGGCAGCATTCTTGACCCCTTTGGACTCGTGATCTCCTACTAGAAGTTCATCTCGGACACTCAATGGCTTGATCTTGCTAAAAATGGCTGTACTAGCATAACCTTTTTTCACTGCACAGGACCAGAATTGGTGCTTGTAGTGTGGTAAAAAATCCTCAAGTTTCTGTAGCTCCTCAGAGCAGATTTTTGTCTCACTGAGACAGAAAATATCTGGATCTTCCTGAGCCACATAAGCACGAAGATGGATACTATCGTCTCGTTTGAGGACAGCTCGGAGACCATTGACGTTCCATGCGACAATTTTTGTTCCAATCGTGTCGTCCGATCGTTTTGAAACGTCCTCAAAAGATGGAAACGCATCAATTTTGGCTTGAAGTGTAGGGGAGATGGGCTCCGCTGTTATTGGACGAGCGTATGTATGATTCTTTTTATGTGGCGCTGAAAAGAGTGCTCCCCATGCGGTCTCATTTGCGGAATTGGTCTTGACCTTTTTTGATTTGACAATAGATGATACGTTGATTACGGTGGAAGAAACTTTAGTATCCGTAATCGTAGTCTTTTGTTTCTTAGTAGGAGGTGACGTGGAGACAGTGGATCTAATCTTTTTATCTGTAACATGTAGACGGGGACTCTGACGAACCATTTTCACAAATGGTAACAATTTGTCCATACATTTAGACGAAATATATCGACGATCTGGATATTATCCATCGATTTTCGCTTTATGTAATTTATAATATCGTACTGAAATTTATATGAAGGTCCTTCTCTTGTTACTTCAGGTAATTTAAATTATCGGGGGGGGGGGGGGGTGGACTAGTTTTTTTATCTTAAATACGATTACTCAAGACCAGTCAAGTACAAATGAGTTCTTCTTCACATGTGGTGTTTCATTCGTTAAAAATCAATTTTCCGGCGTTTTTGAATCGCAATTCCTTTCAACTCGTCCGATTCAGTGATCGTTCCCGTGTGTTTTTTCATTCGTTAAAAACCCGTCCTCCAGCGTTTAAAACGCGTCCCGTTCTTCTCATCTACAGTACCTGTATCAAACCATGGGGATTCATAGTAATTTACCACAATATACGGAGCGAACGGAACACGTCGATATGTTACGTGCAACGCAGGAGGAGCTTGCGTTAAAGATCAAGGAACTTCAGATCTACGAGATCAATTACACGACACTCAAGAAGGATTTAACGCGTTGGAAACAGAAATTTGAATACGTTTTTCATGAAAATGAACTTTTGGCGTTAGAAACGGGGAAATTGGACGCGTCGCATAAACAAATTGCGTTTCTACAGCAAGAAATGAAATTTAAAGACCAAGAAAGTACAGCGTTACGTGGTCTTGTAAGTGCTTTAGAAGCAGCAACGAAAAAAGAACGGGACATGCAATTGGAAGCCATGAAAATTCGAGAGACGGAATTGGAAGTTGTTGCGGCGCTGGCAGCGGAAACAAGAAGCTCGGACCATGTCGACGAGTTGTTGCAATCTCAGTACAAAGCACGACAGGACGAGAAGGAACGCTTGGAGGGGGAAATTGTCGCGCTGAAGACGGAAAATACGTGCCTGTTGAACGAAGTGGATCGGAAAGAAGAAGAGATACAACGACAGGACGAACAGATTCAGGTGCATAAAACACACATTGATGGACTGCAGCAAGCACTGAAAGAAGAACAAGAAGCAGGAATGACGCGATTGAAAGAAAAACAGGATAAAATCCGAGAATTGGAGAAACTCGTGCAACAAATGAAATTGAGACGACGTTCCAGTGTGGCAGCAGCTTTAGCAGTGGCTGAAGAGGAAGGAAGAGATACGATTAGATTTGGACCAGTGGATCGATTGAAATCTAATCATGAAAAAGATGAGAGTGAGGAGGAGGAGGAGGAGGAGGAACCGGATACACCTCCAGGCACTCCACCACCCATTTCATCGGGTGGGTTATTGCCATTGGAAGACCCAACAGCTGATCAGACGATTCGAGATTGGACGGAAGATAGAAAAATTTCATCCGCACGAAGTTTTGAAGAAGCTTTGGATCTTGATCGATTGGAAGAATTGATTCGGAAATTACCCTATGAATCTCAAGAAGGTGCAAGTCGTGTACTTATGGGTGCATTGGACCCGGACACAATGGATGAACCTGTGATTGAGTCGCAGATTGTGCTCCGAAACTTGTCAGCGGAACGGCAGGCTGAGTTGCAAGAATTTTTGTTGCCATTATTGAAGTCGCACCCGGCACTGAGGGTTTCGTACTCGACGATGGAACGTCGTACATTGGTGACAGATGTGCGTATTCAGATCGAGCGTCGCCGTAATTCTGTCCTGGGTGGAATTATGCCTGGCGAGAAACGGTTCGGCAAGGATCATTTGTTTTTGGGTCCGTCGATCGAAGATGTGGGGAAGCTTGTGCCCCACATGCCTCGTGTAGTTAGCACGAGCAGCAAGGCAAGCTATGTGTCCAAGCCCAAAGTCGCTGAGACTTTGGCTAGTATTGGCGATTCTTTGTCTCAAGAGAGAGTAAGTGAACATATAGAGGACATGGACACATGTTCCGAGTCGGCGGAGCCACCACCATCTGATGCTATGACGTCAAAACGCAAGTGGGGTGGACTGAAAGCTGCCAAGTTCATTGGCACGATGGCAGCTGGCGCCAAGCAGCGCGTGGCAGCTACCTTTAAGAATTCCAAGTTTGCACACGAGGGCACGTCGTGTCAGTTCTGCAAGATGACGCCTATTGTGGGTGAGCGTTATTCGTGTGCCACGTGCGTGGGTTTCGATCTCTGCGAGAACTGCTACTCCCTAGGTGGTCATGGTATGGAAAACTCAGACGAGTTGTTCTATCGCGTGCAAGAGCTAGTGCTTGCGCGTTGCCCTCGCCTAGCCGAGGAAGTGGATCTGCTTGAGCTCATGCGCTTTGATATCTGCCGCTCCAACTTGCGCAAATTCAGCTTTTGCCTCAACTGGCTGGCTGACATTGTCAATGGAAAATCATCAAAGGACTTGCAGGCGCGTGCTTTGGAAATACCTCGTATTCGGCGCGATGTCCGCAAGGTGTTTGTGCCTCTCCTTATGCGCGTATGCAGTGACCGAGAAGATATTGAGGTCAAGACAGAGTGGGAGCTAGAGGATGACAACCAGGCTCCAGTTCGCAGCGTGAACGGTGGAGTTAGTGAAGGAGATGGCCGTTTCCTGGAGGCACTACGAATCTGGGTCGCAGATCAGTATCGAACTACATCACCATTCGTGGAACGCAGTCTGCTTAAGTATCATGAAGACGATGAAGACAGTGAAGAAAACGAGGATGGAAGTGACAACGGCGACGGTGGACAGTCGGATGAGATTGAAAGCCAAAACTACAGTCGTGATGGCGACGCGAGCAGCTCTGCAGAGGAGTAATGAAGGAACTAGTAATCAACCCGGGCTTGTGGAACGCATCGTGTTCATAGCGATTAGTTTTGGAGAGATTATGGATGATGCATGTTTAAACAGAAATCAGTGGACAGTCTGTTCAGGAAAGTATTGTGTTGCAATTGTTTTCACGTAAGGGGACCTCTACGCTTAGAATGGTGCGTGTTATTGTTTAACTTGATAGCTTTCATGATGAGCCACTGACGCTAGAATTTTGCTGGACATACGACGTAAAGGAATAATGCAACTTTTGTTTGGCTTGATGCTGTTAACAATCTTTGATTGAGTAGCTGCTAAATACGACTAGCTTAGTTTCGCTGCGTACGCAAGATCAGATCTGCTCTTGTGAGAGCAAAAGCATCCACAATAACGATCTTTCTTGCTAAAGCTGAAGTTTCCTGTACGATAGTTGATAGCGTTAAGGTGCATCATGAGGTATCAGGAAAAAATAAGGTGCTGCTGCATCAGGATCTACGCGTATCTTCGGAGCTGCTCGCATAGGCAAAATCAGTGGTCGGTACACTAATGAGCTCACGATGCGGAACACCAATCATACTCTGGTACATTGTAGAAAAGTAAGAATAAAGTAAACATGAATTACTTGTATATTAACGCATGCCAGACGCGTATGGGCCCCGCCGGGGCCTCTTTAGTGGCTTTGTCAATTTACGAGTGAGAACCACCCGATCATCTTCCTATCTAAGATCTATCACATTCATAGAAGCATCTAGAAGCATCTAGAAGCATCTAGAAGCCTCTATAACATTTCATGTATCCTAGCGTAAGTTGAAGCTCTCGAGTCGATACCAAGTGCAACTTGCACCTTCCAACATACAGGAAACAGTTAGTAAGGGTTAGATTAGGGTGAAACTGCTTATGTGTTCTGCTTGGCCTTACCTGCTACTCTTCCTCTTTTACACCTCCCTATCTACGCTAGCTATCTTGCCGTTCCTGCTCTGTCGTCCATCCATACCTTTTCGTTCTGGCTCTACCTTGATTTTGTCCTACCTGGAACTGTGCTTGTACACAAATGCCAAGATCTGACAGCCGTTTCTCTCATCACTTATATCCAACACTCTTCCTCGAATGTAGTCGTCTTGGCCGCACCATCAATACCATCGCCTCCGCAACCGGCAACTAACCGCTTCGCATCCTTATTCCATCTCGAGGTCCTGCACTACTTCGTCAGGCACATGAGTGCGCGCAACGTCACGAGCTTCACCGGATCAAGTGCTTTCGTCGGCAAATCTGCGAGCATCTGATCCGAGCGCACATATTGCGCGAGTACGATGCCGCGCCTGGTGTAGTCGCACGCGAACTTGAGCCGCACGTCAATGTGTTTGGCCTTAATCGATGACGTCTAGCCTTCGAGTTGCTTGATGGCCACCTGGTTGCTGTAACGGGGCTAGGACGTACTGTCACTAGCTCACACCTGCGCTTGAGGAAGACTCAAGCCCAAGTATTAGGTATTAAGTCAATTTAACTTTAATTTTTTTATTTTTGTTTTAATTCGTACTAATTACGAAGATTTTAGTCGTAATAAATACGACAGTGTTCCCGCCTTTCGGGAACCACACAATTTCAGGTTAATTTATCATTGGTCCATATTGATACTTTAGGCCCCAATAATAAGCCAATTATAATTGCCACGCTGTGCCCGCTATTCGGGCACAGCACCTGCCTACATATGTAATTGTTTATTCATGTTAAAACTATGTGTGTAATGTAGCCCATTACAGTTGCCCACATGCATTAGCATGGCAGACCCGGCGCCATATTAATCTCACCCAGAATATTGCGGACGCCAAGCAACTCGCGTGCTACCTCTGATGCAGCCACGAATTCCGCTTTCATGGCCGACAAGGAAACGCCGATTTATTTCTTCGTGCTACAGCTCACTGGCATATCATAAAGCAGGATGACCCCTCCAGTCAATGACTTTTGGTCCTATTTGTCCGCTGTAAAGTCTGCGTCGCTGTATGACGCCAGCGTCGGAGTGTTCCGCGCTTCGACTTTTGGTGTCATTCGTAATTTCAGCCCTTGAGCCCCTTTTAGGTAGCGGGCAATGCGCTTTGCTAGCTTCCAGACGTGAAGGCGTGGCTGATGGGTTTGGCGCGTCTCTTTGTGCACAGCGAACGCCACGTCTGGCCGCGTACAATGCGCCACCCATAGAAGACTCTTAACGAGTGACTAAAAACTCTTGATAGTTAATACTCCAGCCGCGCTCGCCGTCCCTAGAAGCGAGCTGTCTTTGTCCTGCACCTCGTAGCAGTCAGCGCCGATCGGCGCACGCGTCGAGTTCGTGAAGGCAAGCCCGTACTCGCGCAGGATGTCTTGAATCGTTTCCTCATGGTCCAGGATATACGAGCTATCGTTGTTGAGCGCCACGCGCATGACTAAGAGCTTCAACACACGTCCCAAGTCCATAATTGACAGCGAACCGAGACTGACGAAGAATCAATCCACTGCCGCAGTGATGGTCCCAGTCGCCAATTTTTTTGACATAAACGCCAACCACGACTATATTTTCGCCGTCGTACTAGCGATACCGACACATGTACGCAACGCACCACCTTTGTAAGTCGCGCGTGTAGAAAATGGCTTCACAGGCGCCCCGCTTATTTTAATCCGTACAGACTCTTGCGCAGCTTCAGCACCAATATACTTATGCTTATGGCGCCAAGGTCCTTCAGCATCGCGTGGTCCACATCGATGCCCTGAGAAACTTGTAAAAAAATTAAGGTGCGCTTCTTTGGCGGCCTTGACGTAGACGCTCAGTATGTCCCGTGCTTCGTAGGTGCTTTCCATGCTGCCGCGAGCGCCATTATCACTTTCACTGTCTACATATCCATAACAGCAGCGAAAGTGAACCCGTATTCTACTTCCAGGACTTGTTCTTTTCACGCGCAAATTAATTGCGCCTTCGGCCTTTCAATGTTGCCATCTGCGTTCGTCTTGGTCATGTAGACTATTGCTTTTAAGCATTTTCGCTAGAGCTGCGTTCGCACCTGTTGTCACTGGAGGCGTTGCTTGATCCTCGTACTACAATGAGCACTGCAGCTAGCTGTTCTGATCGTCGCTGAGCGTCTCGATGTTTTTAACGTGCTACGTCTTCGCCACCTTGTTGTCTTTCTACAAGAACACGGGAAAAACTTTTATTTCGTTGCTGATTCCGATGATGATGCCGCCCTGCGATCGCTGCGTGAGGAAGTTGTTTTCCGGGTCTCGATACACAGCGCAGGTGCTCCCGAAAACGACAATCTCCTGAAGATACGGCGCTTTCTTCGTCAGGATCTCGATCGGCGATGCGCGTCTCGCGTTCGCCCGAGTTGGCCTCCTATTCAGGATGTATGCGGCGTATGATACGGCGTCTCCCCAGAACTTGAGCGGTATCCGGATCGCGAAGATCATGCTTCGCGCCATTTTGAGTATCGTTTGATGCATGCGCTCGGCCTTGCCATTCGACGCTTGGTTCCGCACTTCACAGACTTCTTGCGTGATCCCTGTGCGCTGGCAGAACAGGTAGACGTTGTTTTACTCACCCCCGCTATCTTTTCGCAAGACGTGTGTCTTGCATTCGAACATGCGCTCAAAAATACTTATCATTTCGAATTTTTCGACATTTTGTCCTTTGTACGCGCTAGGAAGACGTGACAGTAGTTCGACTTGTGGTCGACAAAGTTAACGAGGAAGCGATTACCGAGCCGATTTGTAGGCGTCATTGGATCCTTCAAGTCCGAGCAAATTACCCCATCAATCCGATCGATCGATCGGCGCGTGCTCGCCAGTGTCTGCCTGAGACTGCTTTTCTTCGTCTGATTTCTTTTTATGCAGAGGATACACCGTTCTCTTGTTGTCAGTGATCTCGATGCCTGAAACGGGTGTCTTCTCCATTCGCTCGATCGTATCGAAAAGCAGGTATCTCATCAGGGAATGGAATGCATAAGATACACGCGCTGAACGTCAGCGGCTGGCGTGCTCAATCCTGAGCTGGATCTCACGGCCATCAGCAAATCTGGTGGCTTCTTTTGTCGCACAGCTGTCGCCGCTGTTTGCACGTACAGCACGTCCGTCTGCATGATTATGTGGAAAGTTAATTCTCCATCACTGCGACGCGCGAGAGCACGAGTCGAACCGCTGTACACAAGTCCGAAGCCTTTATGCTTAAGCTTACCGTATGAGACGATGTTGGGCGCGAGCTGCGGCACCGGGTACACGCTCGTCAGCGTGATCGTTTTCTCTTTGCCGATACCGATAACACGCAAACGAACACTTTCAGCATTGGTGATCTTGCGCGACTCGCCGTCTGTAATGGGGCAACCTATTACATGAGAAGTTATAAGAATAATACATAATTACATAATTAGGAATAGGGCAGTATCCGATTAGCGGATACTGCGCGTCATTTTATTATTGGTTAATTATTGGGGTGCCAGACCCAATAATTAGCCAATAATAAATTGACTTCCATATTGAGTGGTTCCCATGAGCTAGGGAACATATTCGCACTTACTGCGAATCAAAACAAAACAAAAATAAAACAGAGTTATATTTACGAGTTTTTTAGGAGCGCTTCCTCAACGCTCTTTTAGTGTAAGACGGTAACGGGTCCTTAGCCCGTTATACCGTCTGCCATCACAATCTCTTCGTCGTCGTCTTGCATCATCGCGCGTCATTCACCAAGTGACAACTCGACCCGCTGTCCAGGATCCAGTCACTTGTTTTGCTGTCGTCGACGTTGCCAATCGCGTTCACAAACTCACCTGTCGCCTTGAAATCTTGTCAATTGCGCCGTGTCGCCAACACTTCTCTTCTGGCTTCCGCTGCCACCGTTTTCTTTTGCCGCGACAATTTGATTAGATGTGGTTCATCTTGCCGCACCTGTAAAGCATCTGAAAATTTCTTTGCGCTGTGACGACGCCTCGATGTGCGTAGCAACGACCTCACGCCCAACATATTCATTACCGAGCTCGATCGCAAATCGCGTC